TGAAGACTTTGAGGAAGACTTGGAAGAAGACTTTGGGTATTTCTTCTTCTTCTTCTTGTCGTTAGAGTCATATTCCTTGCTCTTCTTCTTCTTTTTGTTCTCATTGTCCCACTATGGACACTCAGAGATGAAGTGGCCAAGTTTCTTGCACTTGTGACATGTTTTCTTCTTGTAGTCATGAGCAGGAGCTTCATCATTCCTTGAACTTGATCGGGAAGACTTTCTGAAGCCTTTCTTCTTGGTGAATTTTTGGAACTTCTTGACAAGCATAGCAAGTTCCCTTCCAATGTCTTCAGGGTCATCAGAACTGCTGTCAGATTCTTCTTCAGATGAGGAGACAGGTTTTGCCTTCAAGGCACGAGTTCGCCCATAGTTTGGACCGTAGATCTCTCTTTTCTCCGAAAGCTGGAACTCATGTGTGTTGAGCCTCTCAAGTATGTCAGACGGTTTGAGTGTCTTGAAATCATGACGTTCTTGAATCATCAGGGCCAGCATGTCAAACGAACTATCAAGTGATCTCAGCAGCGTCTTGACGATTTCGTGTTTGGTAATCTCAGTGGCGCCGAGGGCTTGAAGCTCATTTGTGATGTCAGTGAGTCGGTCAAATGTGTGCTGGACATTCTCATTGTCATTTCGCTTGAAGCGGTTGAAGAGATTGCGAAGAACACTGATTCTTTGATCTCTCTGGGTTGAGATGCCTTCATTGACCTTGGAGAGCCAGTCCCAGACCAGCTTGGATGTCTTCAAAGCACTCACACGGCCGTACTGTCCTTTGGTCAGATGACCATAGATGATATTCTTGGTAGTAGAGTCCAGTTGAACGAATTTCTTGACATCAGCAGCAGTGACACCTTCTCCAGCCTTGGGAACGCCGTTCTCGACGACATACCATAGGTCGACGTCAATGGCTTCAAGATGCATACACATCTTATTCTTCCAGTAGGGATATTCAGTTCCATCGAAGACGGGGCACGCAGCGGAGACTTTAATTATCCCTGCAGTCGACATAGCTAAAACTCCAGGTGGTTAAACCGAATCACATAGAACAAGGGAGCACCTTGCTCTGATACCAATTGAAAGTGCGTTATATCGACTAGAGGGGGGCTGAATAGGCGATTTTTATGAAAGTCTTCAAAACGTGAAGTTATGAAGACAAACAGCAGAGATATGCCTATTACTATGCAGCGGAAGGTCGACTACACTAGGCAAGCCACGGTCAAGTATCAACAGAGTGAAAGCACAGTGACAAATGGCTGCAGTGTAATAAGGATCAGGTAGGAAGATATTATGAAGCCAAACAGATCATACACTCACGTTGTGAAGACAAAAGATAGAACAGACATGCAATGACTTCACAATGAGTAATCAGTAAGTAAAAGGATGTAAGATGAAACCAGTGACTCGTTGAAGACAATGATTTGTTGGACCAGTTCCAGTTGCTATGACAATTGTACGTCTGGTTGGAGCGGCTAGGTATTTAAACCTTAGGACACACAGTCCCAGACACCCAGTCCTGAACACGCAGCTCAGGACACACAATCCTCACCGTATTCTCCTTGAGCTAAGGTCACATAGACCTCGCCCAATCACTCTGGTAAGTCTTCAAGGTAGACTCCCAAACCTTCACAGACTTCGTTCACTAGCAATCCACAATGTCTCTTGGATGCTCAGAACGTGACGCCTAACCGTCTGAAGGATGCACAGTCCTCAAGTGTAATAAGTCTTCATATCACACAGACAAGAAGACTTAAGTGATGCCCAATTCTCTCTGGCTCTGGGTGGTTAGGGCTTTATCCTCGCAAGGAATTCTCTCTCAAGGTCTTCGAGGTGGGTTGCTCTCAAATGACAAAAGCCGTACTCTCAATCTGAGCAGCCAACCGTTGATGGTTGTAGGGGGTGGGCTATTTATAGCCACTTGGCAACCCGACCTGATTTGTCCGAAATGACCCTGGGTCACTAAGGAACTGACACGTGTCCCAACGGTCAGATTTCAAACTCACATGGCAACTTTACTTGGGCTACAAGCAAAGCTGACTTGTCCGGCTCTGGACAAGATTCGCTCTCATTGTCTTCACTCGAAGACATAGGTTTTTGTTTTAGGCATCACTTCAGTCATTCTGACTGGTTCTCCTGGACCCACTTAATAGTACGGTGGTTCCTATGACTCAACATAACAGAAAAAGAACTACGTAAGATCTAAGTCTTCGAGCTCCATAGGCTTCATATAGTGTCTTCTCTTGTCATAGTCTTCAATGTGAATATCTTCATATACCACCTTTGACTTCAATGTCTTCATACATTTTTAGGGGTCATCTCTGGTAGTAAAACCGAATCAATGAGGGACTTCTACCTGTGTTATCCTGCAATTCTCACAAACACATTAGTCCCTCAACTAGGTTTGTCGTCAATACTCCAAAACCAACTAGGGGTGGCACTAGATGCACTTACAGTAGCCCAGGGTAGTCGGCTATAATGGCCGCCATGGCGTCATCACAGCTTAGCTGATAGAAAATCCTATCAATCAGCTCCACGAATATGTCCGGATCCCCTTTCAGGCCGGGGTCGAGGACCCGCTCAGGATCCTCCAGTTGTGGAGTTGGGCTATTGATCTCCTCTACCGCCTTACGCAGTTCCTGCGATGAAACAGCAAGGTAAATATTTATCACGAAAACAAGGGTAGGATGGAAGTAAAAGAGCGGAAGCTCACCCAGCTTCGAGGGTTGTTCATGGAGAATCCATCCAGTGGCTTGATGCGGAGGAACTCCTCTTCTTCCCCCTTATACAGATCTGATAGAATTTTTGCTAGAGCAGCAATTGAGTCCGGTCCCTTGCGCCCGCAGCGAGTGGCATCATCTTCCCCATTGAAGTGCCACATGGGGTGGCCTCGATATTGAAGTGGCTGCACCCCCCGCATAATGCATATTGTCATAACCTCGGTTATGGTCAGTCCTGATTTGGCCAGCAACTTTATCCGGCCCATGAGATAAAATACGTCTCTATCATCTTCCTCCTGTGGGCTCCATGGGTGCCAGCTTAGGTGTTTCTTCAAAGGGGCGTTGTCGAACTCAGGAAGACCAATCCGGATAGGATCCGGGAGACGAACATCCTCCATATAAAACCACTTCGAAGGCCAGTCCTCGGACGTCTTCTTTGGGGTACCAGATAGGTATCTGGTCCCGGTGATGTGCCATACTTCGGCTCCGCCCACTTGATATATTGATCCCCTCTGTGTACGGGGCACAAGGCAGAACAACTTCTTCCACAGCGCGAAATGAGCTTCGCAACCCAGAAACAGCTCGCAAAGGGCTACGTAACCAGCGTTGTGCAGTATGGAGGCAGGGGTGAGGTTGTGCAACTGGAGGCCGTAGAACTCCAGAGCCCTCAGAGAAATGGATGGATTGGAAATCCGAGTCCACTTAACAAATAAGGGACAAGGCATACCCGCTCTCCCTTAGAGGGGTTGGGAAAGATCTCCGCTTGCTCCCCGCCATTATAGGTGGCGAGCCCGGCTCGAACCGGGACCATATACGCTGGAGGGAGGAATCCCTGGGTCTGTAGCTTCACTAATTGGCTGTGCGGGACAGAACACTTCTCCCAGTCTCCGGGCTTGGGGCTGCGGGAGCGAGAGGAGGAGCTGCGCTGGCCGGCCATGTTGGGATGGATTTTTTCGGGCGCGCTCTGATGAATGCTCGCTGAGGGAGGATGGTGTGGTTTGGATCTGAGGATCCTCGTCTCTTTAATAGACAGTTCATTCACATAGATGGGGTGGTAAATGTAAAAACACCCTGGCTCCTCACATTCGCTTGACACATGGAAGATGGCCATTATTGGACGCAGAAGCCAAGAAGCGCAACATTTACAAGAAGCCAGACACTATTTAACAGGTACTCAGAGTTTGAAGAAGAACCCGCCTTGCAATGCCGAAGACAATCTGCGCGCCGGACTCGTCGTCATTGAAGCCTGGTTCGGGGGCTACTAAGGGAGTCCTGGATTAGGGGGTATACGGACGGTCAGACTATATCCTTTGGCCGGAATGTCGGACTATGAAGATACAAGATCGAAGACTTCGTCCCGTGTCCGGATGGGACTCTCCTTGGCGTGGAAGGCAAGCTTGGCAATTCGGATATGTAGATCTCCTTCCTTGTAACTGACTCTGTGTAACCCTAGCCCCCTCCGGTGTCTATATAAACCGGAGGGTTTAGTCCGTAGAGAGGACAGACAATCATACCATAGGCTAGCTTCTAGGGTTTAGCCTCATCGATCTCGTGGTAGATCAACTCTTGTACTACTCATATTATCAAGAACAATCAAGCAGGACGTAGGGTATTACCTCCATCAAGAGGGCCCGAACCTGGGTAAACATCGTGTCCCCCGCCTCCTGTTACCATCCGCCTAGACGCATAGTTCGGGACCCCCTACCCGAGATCCGCCGGTTTCGACACCGACAAATGCCATCCGACATAATTATCCATCATTGATCCATTGTCTACGAGATTTTCATATATTGATCTTTGCTTCTTTACTTTTACGTTGCCACTGTTACGATTGCTACAAAACTGCTATTGTTACTTTTTGCTAGTGTTACCGTTACTACCATACTACTTTGCTACTAAATACTTTGCTATAGATATTAAGTCTTTCAGGTGTGGTTGAATTGACAACTCAGCTGCTAATACTTGAGAATATTCTTTGACTTCCCTTGTATCGAATCAATAAATTTGGGTTGAATACTCTACCCTCGAAAACTGTTATGATCCCCTATACTTGTGGGTTATCAATACACTATCGGGGACTCACAATATTGAATGGAAACACGTCGAGGAGAGACTACAAAAAACTAAGTAGTTGGAACGACAAACTGCTATCTCTGGGTGGAAGGTTGGTCCTCGTAAATTCAGTACTAAGTAACATGGTACTACATATGATTTTCTTCTTCTAGTTGTCGAAAGGAGTATTGCATAGATTGGATTACTTCCGATTGAGATTCTTTTGGCAAGGAGATGGCGAGAGAAAGAAATATCGGCTGGCTAAATGCAGTGTGGCTTGCTGTCCAAAGGACCAAGGCGGGTTGGGCATTCAACACCTTGACGTTAAGAATAGGGCCCTCCTCGGCAAATGGTTCTTTAAGTTATTGATGGAAGATGGTGTATGGAAAACCCTCCTAAGGAGAAAATATGTTGGTTCAAAGGCGGTATCCCAAGTATAATGTAAGCTTGGGGACTCTCACTTTTGGGCGGGTCTAATGGCAATGAAGAAATATTTCTTCTGATATGGTTCCTTCTCAATTAAGGATGGTTCAAAATTAGATTTTGGGAGGATAAGTGGCTAGGTAATGCTACACTTCGAGAACAATATCCAGCTATATCAATATTGTGCGTCACAAGGGTGATACTATCGCCAAGGTTTTGGAATCAATCCCACCAAATGTGATGTTCATAAGAGATTTAATTGGACCTAGACTCCAATCGTGGAACATACTGCTCCAGCAGTTAACCACGGTACAGTTGTCACAAGGGTCCGATGTATTTCGTTGGAACCTACATGGGAATGGGCAATTCTCAGTGGAGTCTATGTATAGAGCTTTGATCCAATCTTATGTGCTAGTTGATAATAGCAAGAAGATCTGGAAGACGAAGATATCTCTTAAGAATAAAATCTTTGCATGGTATCTTCATCGCAGGGTTATTCTTACTAAAGATAACCTTATTAGGAGGAATTGGCATGGAAGTACGTAATGTGTCTTTTGTCCGCATGGTGATACAATAAAACATTTGTTCTTCCAATGTAAATTAGCCCATTCTATATGGTTAGTCATCCAAATTGCTTTTGGCTTGTATCCTCCTTGTAGTGTTGCTAATATATCTGGCAACTGATTACATGGGATTGATCACAGGTTTAGAATTCTTCTTGGGATGGGAGCGCTTGCCATGAAGAGACTAGGCAATACATTTATACAACAATATTCTCCCTCACGCATGGTTCCCTCAGGCCTAAACATGGACCGAAAGTGGGCTACAATTTAATTGCGCCAGCGGGGTCTTGAACTCAAGACCTCTTGGTTTCGATACCATGTAGAAGTGCATGCTCTACTCAATGCAACCAAAATACCGATCTGATGGAAGAGACTAGAGAATACATTTATACGTCAACATTTGGTCGCTTATGTAGAAATGATAAGATTTTTAACAACAAAAGTACTTCTCTTATACAGGTTATCTACAGATGTACCGGGATGCTTCGTTTATGGTCCTCTCTACAACAAGTGGAGAATTCAGACCTGTTTATGGACGTGTATACACGATTGGAGACCACAACAAGGGATACTTTTACCCAACATCGGTGACAGCGTGATCGTAGGATTGGGCCACCTACGGTTTAGGCGTTATACAAACTTAGATTATCTGTATTTCGTCTTCTTTTTGGCTTGGTGCCTGGACTTTATTGGCTGTATGCATCTTAGTTATGTAAAGACCGGGTGTAATGCTTAAACCTTTTAAGTAATAAAGCGCCCCTTTTCAAAGAAAAAATAAACAGGAGGCCTAAATAGGTTCCAGTTCGACCTTGTTTTGGCAGGCATCCCCTATGTGTATTTCTCACACTTGAAATCCTAGTTAATTCATAAAAAAATAATCGGTTTACAATAAAGCAGAAAAACATCATTCATCTTTCTTTTTTGCGGGGTAAAAACACCATCCATCTATAAGCTGAGAACATTGAACTTAAATCAACAAATGGGGAAAAGGTACTAAAGTTTATTTTGCACCTCTATATATTGAAAAGAAAATTGTGGGAAGTTTCTGGCTAAACCTACCAAACTAAGGTTGCACAAAAATGTGCAACTTGACTATTTTCTAATATATAATTAAATATAAAGCTTTCAAAATTAAACAAATTTAATTGACTATTAAATTAATCAAAAATAAAATAATGTACTCAATTTCTTGGCACAATGTATTGAAAGGTAATGTTGGGTGATTTTCAATTAGTGGTTACCTATTTCTTGAACTAATGTTGCACGAATAAAATGTCAAAAAGAATTGCGAAAGGGAATAAAATGTCAACTTTAATATTTAGAAATCTACAGCTGGCTGGCTATGAAATTTTTCAAGAAAGAAATTTAAACTTAACACAAAAATCAATGTACTGAAACTATGCTACCCCCTCCAATCCATATTAATTGACGCTGCTTTAGTAAAATACTAAAACAATGTCAATTAATATGGATCGGGGAGTGTACTATAATATGAACAAGAATCATATATGATCACATTGAAACAGGACAATCATAAAAACATCACGATACAACGAGAAAATTATTTTTGTTATGCAAAATAAAGGATAGTTGATGGAATGTTGTTAATTACCTTGTACACTACACAAAAATTTCCGAGGTTATGAACTCTAAAATAGAATTGAGCATATACTGACATAAGGGAAGCTTTCCTGTGGGAGGAACCAGGGACCGAGTTAGCCCTAGAGCACTAGTGTCAGCTGAAACTCATGAAATTATATCTCCAATACTATGTGTTCTACAATATAAATTGTATTTTTAAGAAGGGCAAACCTTTCTAACTTTGATCAAAGTTGTACGAAAAATATCAACATCTACATAACAAATAAATACTACCTCCGTCCCAACAGCTTGAGAAACGATCTTATGTTGTGGGACGGAGGGAGTATAATGTAAAAATATATTTCATGATGAATCCAATGCTACTAATATGATTTTGTAGATCTTGGTAATTTTTTCTATAAAGTTGGTCAAACATATATAAGTTTGAATTTTCAGATAAAATATACCTTATATTTTGGAATGGATGAAGTGGTATTTCACAGCCAATATATGGAAAAAAGAGAAACATGTGGCATACACGAAGTTTAACCCATTGAAAGCTTTGTCTGACTTCGCCCCTGGGAGAATATCTAGTGCACAGGTGCTTGTGGTGCTACCAGTGCGCCGAACTTTCTTTGGTAGGATTTACATAACAGACTTCGCATGCCTATAGTATTCATTGATGACACGGACCGAGTGATGGCAATTGTGCTCTTTGCGGTGCACCTGAAGATGTTAGCCATATTCTGTTTTCCCGCCTCATTGCACAGTTCTTCTGGAGTTGTGTCCATGAGAGCTTGGCATTCACTTGGAACCCCAAACATGTAATAGTTTTGCTGGTATGGTTTACACTTTGCCTGGGCCTAACGTAGAGTTGTTTGGAGTGCCTTTACAACACAATCTTAGACCCTTTTGCATCATGCGCAATAACCTTGCAATTAGGAGAATCATCTCTGACCAACCAGCTGAGTATATCTTTAAAACCAACTCTTTATTTCAGTTGTGGCTACCTTTGGGCAAGGAGAAGGACAATGCACTGGCGGTCGCTACATTATCGAAGATTAGGCTCATTCACTCAATCAACAGGTAGCCCGCGGCGAACATAAATTATGAGGATCCTATTTCTTAGTTGTCCTATTTGGGCGGTGTCAAGGGTTCAATTGTGGGCATTGTCAATAGTGGGCACGGTGCCTCCATGGAGGCTGCGATGGCAAGGGCTTCAGCATCGCCATCCTGACCATGTCGGGCAGGTGTTAATTCAGGTATGTTCGACGCTATGAGCACCTTCAAAAACCCAGCAAGGGCACTCTTACCGCCGTCAAGGATCCCAAGCCAATCGTCCGGATAGCCACCGAGGTAACCCCTACGTCGCTGCCCACTTAGCGATCTATCCAAGCCAACCAAGACCGCGTCTACTAGTCAGAGACTGAGAAGCCGCAGAAGAAGGAGGGCGAAAGCGACACTGAGGACATGATCATCCCCACTACGTTTGAGTCGAACCAGCACAAGCCGGAATTACACCACGACGTGGAGCTCCGCTTCGAAAACCTCGCTGCCGAAGCGATCGATCAGCACCACATGCGGCATAGCCCGCGGAAGGCCACTGCCCCAACGGACTGAGATCCAATGACTTGCTAGTCACCAGTGAAAACAGTACCGTGACTTGCCCCTCTCCATACCGTCCGATCTAAAATCGGCGGACAGATACGCGTGAACAGTACAAGATCTACAATGCTCGGTCAACAGTAGTCGGTGTACAGTACCCTGCTTGCAGTGTTTCCTGCTACAGTGTTTGATCTGTGTCACCCCCTGCATCCAACGGCGGGCTACACGTCAGTTACGATGTGACTTGGCAGAGGCCAATCACTGGATCCCAGTCCCGCCCCAACGCACCAAATCAACACGCGACTGCACCAGGTTCATCTGATTTTGGGTGTGTGTGGTGGCGCGGGTAGAGCTATAGGTTAGGGTTTGCTATCGCTATCAGGCGCGCCCCTCGGAAGCAACCTTGTACTTCTAATTCACAAAACAACAACAACATGCATCTCGGTTATAAATTCAAGATTGTTGTACAACAAACATTCTCAATTTAGCTTTCCATTTTCTAGCTAGTTTTCATAATTATATTCTTGTATTAAAAGAAGAATTTCTTGTCGTTGTTGCAGAATACAGTTGTACAACTCTTCTACGTCAGTTGATGCCTTATGATTACCGTCTCAGCACCAGTGGCTCCCCGCCGTCACCACCAACAACTCCAGAGTCCAACTCCCGTCTCCGCCGCTCTCCCTACTCATCGCCACGACCTCCCACCCTTTCTCGTCAGGGGGAGCGAGGGCTCGATGCGGATTCTTCTCATGGCTGGACTCACCAAGATTCTCCTCCCACTCCTCCTCCTCCTCTCCGTCGCCGCGGCCGCTTCGCCGTCGTCGGACGCGGAGGCTGTATCCCGGTTCCAGGAGTACCTCCGCATCGACACGGCGCAGCCGATGCCGGACTACGCCGCGGCGGTGGCCTTCCTCCGAGACCAGGCGGCGGCTGTTGGGCTTGAGGCGCGGACGCTGGAGTTTGCCGCCGGCAAGCCCTTGCTGCTGCTCCGGTGGCCCGGGCGGCGGCCGTCGCTTCCTTCTATACTTCTCAACTCCCACACCGACGTCGTGCCGTCGGAGCCCAAGAAGTGGGAGCACGCGCCTCTCTCTGCCACTCTTGACGAGGCATCCGGTCGCATCTACGCGCGCGGCTCCCAGGCAAGATTGCTTTCAGCCGCGATTTTTTTTTACTTGTTTCGTTTGGGCTGCAAATATGGATATACTATCAGTTTTGCTAAAGCATATACTATCATATAATGTGTAGACTACAAATAACACGAAAGATAACTGCTTTAGGCCGTGTGCAGTCTCTGTTAGTATATCACAGGCAAGCTTCTTGGTTGATTTCAGTGTTCTTTCATCAACGAGCATGCTTGAGTAATCTATCCATCAAGTGAATTTTTAGCACTGAATCCAATCACAGTGTTCTCTTTTGTCACTATTGATGATGTTGTAAACTTGTGAATTGTGACTAGATTCACTGTACTTGTAGAGATCTATACTCCATGTGCACTTAGTTCGATGCAACCTATATTACCTGAAATATATGAATTCCAATACTAAGATTGCTATTTTCCCTTTATAGTCCAGTATTTAGCTGCATTTAGATGATATGTATGGCTCGATATACATGATCTGTCCGAGTAACCTTCGCAAACACTGCGAGACTGCTAAAAGCTACAATGTGGTGTGATAAGCTGTCACTTCTACATGTTTATCTTATCTAAGAGATCTTCACTGTGGTTCATGAATGTAGGACATGAAGTGTGTGGGGATGCAGTATCTTGAAGCCATTCGGCGTCTCCGTGATGCGGGCTTTGTCCCAGATCGGAACATATATATTATATTTGTTCCCGATGAGGAGATTGGTGGACATGAGGGTGTTGAGCTATTTGTTGCATCGAACGAATTCAAGGAGCTGAATGTGGGATTGGTTCTTGACGAGGGACTTGCATCCCCTAGGGAGGAGTACCGGGTGTTCTATGCAGAACGTAGTCCTTGGTGGCTTACTATTAAAGCAAAGGGAGCGCCAGGGCATGGTGCAAAATTGTATGATGGTAGTGCAATGGAGAATTTAATGAAAAGTGTGGAGGCTCTTCGGAGGTTCAGGACAGCTCAGTTTGATTTGGTTAAGTCCGGAGAGAAAGCTGAAGGGGACGTTGTATCGGTGAATTTTGCGTACTTGAAGGCTGGGACACCTACACCCACGGTTAGTTTATCCAAGTTCCTGTTTACAATGTGCTATAAGTGTAATTTACGAATTGCTATTGGATCCTTCACAACATCAATTAAAAATATAAGCAGTTTGAGTACTTGCTCGCTTGCTCATTTGCTAATGTGATGTCCTTTTTCTTGATTAACCTATGTATTTTAAAATTTATTTTGAGATGACACAGTGCATAGGTTTCATATTTGATGTTTGTTCAAATTGAACAATCAGTTCCTTTGACTAGGAATTATTTATTCTATACTGAATATCTGTTTAGTATTGATTTTGTTTAGTCTTTCATGCCTAAGAATCTCTGACATGTCTGGTAGCGTGATGAGATAGGTAATCCACCTGCTAAAAAAAGAGGACCATATGATTTCAGCATTACTAAGGCTTGTTTTCTTCTTAGTTGGTGCTGGCCAGTAAAGTTATGTCTCATGTTTTTTAGAATTACCATAGTTAATCACGCTTACATAGGACCTGATACTTCTGTGTTCTGTCCATTCTCCGAGTCAGAGAATTGTAAGTCAGTTCTTGAAGTTCATTTACTTCGAAATGTACCACGGAGTTCACAATCATGATCATGTAGACTCTGATGCTTTTATGTACTGTAACATCTTGAATTCATTGCAATTAGTATTTGCTACCTTAGTCATGTAGTTTTTGTTAAAAGGATAACACTTTGCCATCAAGTTCACCCTGATTGACTCATGTTTTCAGTTAATAAGTCTATTTTCACTCTTATTTCAGGGTTTTGTGATGAATCTACAACCATCTGAAGCAGAGGTAGGAATTGACATTCGAATCCCTCCTAGTGTTCATACTGAAGCACTAGAGAAGCGTCTTGCTGAAGAATGGGCACCTTCTTCACGCAACTTGACTTTCGAGGTATGATGTTCTTGACAGGGCAATTACTTATGCCTTGTCAACATATATAATTATCCATGCTGTGGAGAGCTTACATTATATTTGATTTTTCTTGAATCGTGTTCTTTGTCATGGGGGATACCCATTTGAAATGAAGGTTAATTTATCATTCCTCTTCTGCACTGTAAATCTTTTGATTTGTCTTTTAAATTATGAAAAAGGAAAGAAATATCTAACACAAAATATAGGTAGAAAGTTTTCTAGAATAATTGAAGAAGGTTAATTATCTTGTAATTATTCATTCAGTTGAAGGGTTGAAGTAATTATTGAGGTTTGCTGTGTTAGTTTGTATTAGCTACTTTTTATTGGGTACTGGGGGTTGAGGGTGTTTTTTCTGACTGTCTAGTGTGTTAAATGACTGTAAGATAGGAGTATTTCATTTGGTGTACTAAAGCCTGCGCTTCTATTGGTGAAAACTGATTCATGTTCAGTTTGTGCCTGCTACAAATACTTTAAAGGCAATGCATGGCTGAAAATTTGCGAAAGGCGGATAAAAAAAAGCTTGTAAACGAATAATGCTAGTGTAACACTTTGATGAGCAAAACAAAGGAACAGTTGAGCTGAGAGTTTCCTTTTATTTTAATTTCAGCAATCTTGTAAGGATAATATTACATGGTGCATAAGTTTTGTAATCAAGTTTCTTCTTGATGTCTGTTTGACAGTTCAAACAAAAGGGCTCTGTCCTTGACAAGTTAGGGAAGCCAGCCATGACAATTGCTGACAGCTCGAACCCATGGTGGCCTGTGTTTGAAGAATCTGTGAAGCGAGCTGGTGGCAAACTTGGCAAGCCGGAGATATTTCCGGCTTCTACTGATGCTCGTTATTTCCGGGAAATTGGGATACCAGCTTTTGGCTTTTCCCCTATGGCGAACACACCAGTACTGCTCCATGATCATAACGAGGTTTGTGCCACCAAGCTCCATTTAATACATCAAGCCATCAACTTATCCGATTGCCTTTCTCATATAGAATAGCATAGCTTTAGAACTAGACACATCAACGTGCACCTACAGTACCTGACAGCTAAAATAGCAACATATTGGTCATGCTCTTATCGTTTATACACAAGAAAGTACCAATGTTCTTTACAAATACTTAAGATGTGTGCATGTCTTGCAGTTCCTGAGCAAAGATGAGTACCTCAAAGGAATTGGGATATATGAGTCCATTATAAAGGCGCTGGCCACACATAAAGATGACGGCATCGACGAGGAGTCTAGGGCAGAACTGTGAGGAAAGATGATCTTATCTTGCCACGCCGGATATCTTGCCTCTCAACGTGCAGTCGTAACGCAGAAGAAGGTTTTGGCAAATACATGTTCTGTTTCTGCTCCGGCGGCCAAAGCAAAACCACAGATACGGTCCTTGTACATCTCTAATAATTTGACCTGAAATAATTCATGATACTGCATCTGTAGTTCCTCCGCATATTGTACGAGTAATGACATCTCTGTATAATTAAATAAGTGATGGCATTTCATCCGTTGTTCATCAGTTCTTTCTCTTGGTGAGGCACTTCCTCGCTACTTTGATGCGTCAGTGAGACACCGTCCTGAAGCTTTGACGGATCTTGAGACTTGGATCCACGCAGCTCCTCTCTTTTCCCCTCCTGAAGTTCTCTTTCTTTCTACGCCTGCCTTGGAAGGCACGACATGCCAGGCATGTGTTGTGCACAACAGAGATAAACTCGCTCGTCTCAGCCTGCAGTTTGCGCTGGATCAGGTGGAATTTCTGGCCTGAGTAGCAAACATGTTACCGACGCCTCCCATGCCCATTGCTACACTGCTCTTGCCCTCGACCCTCAGCTCAGTGTTATATATAGTCATCTATGCATTGCATCAATGCGGCGCAACATAAGATGGTCAGGTGATTATTGCACGGTTGGATTATTTTTTTGAGAACTGCACGTAAGGCTTGTTACGAGCCACCTACGTTGACATCATCTACATTCACGCCTGCATTCAACTACTTGGGTAGAGTGTAACTGTGCCGCGAACTCTTTGTCCTTTGTGGTAGTGGCAATTATACAATTACCAATTGAATTTCAAATAGCACAAATTGTATATAAAAGTAGGAGTATACTACATGGATGGAACACCGTCAGAACATCACGTGTACAACTCCATGGTAAAAGAATCGGCGAGTACCTGAGCACAGATGGGCACCTCAAAGGGATTGGGATGTATAATTCGATTATAAAGGTACTGGCCAAGCACAAAGATGACTGCATTGACGAGGAGTTAGTGTCTAGAGCAGAGCTGTGAGGAAAGACGATCTTGTCTTGCCACGGTGAAATTCTTGCCTCTTGTCATGCAATCGTGGCGTAGAAGTGGGTTCCGACGAATCGATGCTTTGTTTCTGCTTCCCCGGCCAAAGCAAAAAACAGAAAAAAAAATATGGTCCTTGTACATCTCTGATAATTTGACCTGGAATAATGGATGATACTGCATCTGAAGTTCATCGGCATATTATTATTATGGTTAGTACTTATTAAATACTTGGTGCGTCAGTGAGGAGACCATGTCTCCTCTCCTTTTATGTACACAAACCTCAGAATGTTTTTGTTGTCTAGATGTTGTCAAATGTATTGAAGCTTAGACGGATCGAGACTTGGATATACCTAGGCAGCCACGCAACTCCTCTTTTCTATCCACCTCTAGTTATCTTTCTCGACAAAGCAGAAAATGAATCCAAACAAGTAAATTGCGGTACAACACACACATAAGTCGTTCGCTTTAATCAGCACTCACTCCTAGGCTCCTACAACTTAGACATGAACCATGCTTGACTCTTTCCCACGTAGCATCAAGCCGCCACCCTTTCCTTCGGTTGTCGCGGCTGAACGGACGCCAGCAAGTCCGAGGAAGTGGCGATCAGATGTCGAGGCATTCCATGCTAGCCATGTGGCACAACCTGACAAGACGCATCTGGAATGAATGACCCAATGGCGTAGGGAAGAGGGGTTGATTTAGTGGAGGAAGACGTGACACACAACGCGGCCGAACAGGTAGATCGGAAGGCGCAACACGATTGGTGTGCGTCGTGCACAACAAAGATCCACTCGCTCGTCTGAGATGCTTCTTCAGGTCAGGATTTTGAGGTGCGTCAGGTGGAATTGCTTGCCCGCGTAGCAAACTTGTTACCGATACCTCCCACACCCATTGCTACATTGCTCTTGCCCTCAGCTCGCAGCTCAGCTCACTTTCTCTGCCTTGCCCTTCTTCTCTTGGCCTATGGATCCATCACTGCCTAGCAGTCTTATATATAGCCATCTATGTTGCATGAGTTAATGTGGCGCAACATAAGACGGTGAGGTGATTCTTGCCCGGTTGGAGCTGAATGTAGGCATGTGACGAGCCACCCACCTTACCATCATTCATGTTAACACCCACATTCAACTACTTGGGTAGAGTGTAACCGTGCCGCCAGCTCTTTCTCCTTTGTGGTAGTGACAATTATAACAATTACTAATTGAATTTCAAATAACAAAAATTGTATACAAAAGTAGAAGTATACTAGATGAATGGAACACCATCATACATCACGTGTACAACTCCATAGTAAGCAGCACGTTAATTCATGTGATATGGATATCCTCACAAGCCCACATGTATTATTTAATGCACGATATTTCACATATACACATTGCACTATTTTGCTCCCTGTTATGTATGAATTAAGAATATGAAACCATCAGATCAGAAATAATACATTAATAAAAGAAAAGTAATATATTACAACGACCGGATGACCAACCGCTATTTAAGGCGGTGTGTATGCGATTGGAGCAGGTGGCTACGGAGGGTTTTTTCTCAACATGGGTGGCAACATAACCTTCGGATCGATCCACCATCTCCATCGACATAGGCATAGTGCCGGTCTATATGGCTCTAGTGTTGCCGATTTGTCGGGTTTTTTCATGAATTTTTGTCGAACTTTCATATTGGACCGTGTGCATTCTAATTATGCAGAGACCGTGTGTTACTCATAATGCTTTGTATCCGTTTGATGCTACATTTTAAGATAATAAAATCGCCCTTTATCGAAAAAATAAAGGTACTCGCCAAACACAAAGATGACTGCATTGATAAGGAGTTAGTGTCTAGAGCAGAGCTGTGAGGAAAGACAGTCTTATCTTGCCATGGTGAAATTCTTGCCTCTTGACATGCAATCGTGGCGCATAAGTGGGTTCCGACGAATCAATGCTTTGTTTCTGCTTCCGCAGGCAAAGCAAAAAACAGAAAATATGGCCCCTATACATCTCTAATAATTCGACCTGAAACAATAGATGATACTGTAGTTCATCGGCATATTTACCGGCAAAAAGTTAATCGGCATATATTATATGTTGTACTTATAGATTAAATACTTGGTGCATCGTGAGGACTGAGGAGACCCTGTCTCCTCTTCTCTTATGTACACAAACCTCTCGAATGTTTTTGTTGTCTCAATGTTGTCAAATGTCTTAATCATGGACGGATCAAGGCTTGGATCCTCCTCTAGTTATTTTTCTTGACAAAACAGAAAGTGAACCCAAACAAGTAAATTGCGGTAGAGCGCACATAAGTTGTTCGATTTCCCATCAACGCTCACTCCTACTCGGCTACTCTCCTACAACTTTTACACATGAACCATGCTTGACTCTTTCTCACCATCAAGCCGCCACCCTGACCGTCGCTTGTCGTAGCTGAACGAACGCCAGCAGGTCCGAAGAAGTGGCGGTGAGACATCGACGCATTCCATGCTAGCCATGAGGTACTGGCAGACAAGACGCATCTGGAATGAATGAACCAGTGGCGTAGGGAAGAGGGGTTGATTTTGTGGAGGAAGACGTGACAAACAGCGAGGCCAAGCAGGTAGATCGGAATGCGCGACACCACTGGCATGCGTTGTGCACAACAGAGATCCACTCTCTCGTCTGAGATACTTCCTTAGGTCAGGATTTTGAGGTGCATCGGGTGGAATTGCTCGCCCGTGTAGCAGACGTGTTACCTGAAAGTGCGTTATATCGATTAGAAGGGGGGTGAATAGACGATTTTTATGAATTCTTCACTGAGGAATTTCAGGGTGAGGAAATTCCTGAGTGAAGAACTACTTGCAGCGGAATAAGTACTCAGAAGTAAACATAACAGAGCATGAGCGTGGTCTTCATGAAGAAATGAAAACAAGCACAGAGTAAAGAAAGGGTAAACACAGAATAACAGAACGAAGACAAACAGACTGAAGAAATTGAACTAAGGAAATTGAGAAAAGTCTTCAGTCAAAGTCTTCAAACAGATATAAACAAGCACACAACACAGAAACGAGGAAATGGAAGGGTTGAGGAAATGGAACCAGTTAGCTCGGTGAAGACAATGATTTGGTAGACCAGTTCCAACTGTTGTGACAGTTGTACGTCTGGTTAGGGCGGCTAGATATTTAAATCTGAGGAACACAGTCTCGGACACCCAGTCCTGAGCACGCAGCTTAGGACACTTAGTCCTCACCATATTCCCCTTGAGTTAAGGTCACACAGACCTCGCCCAATCACTCGTGGTAAGTCTTCAGGTGACTTCCAAACCTTCACAGACTCGGCCACTCGACGATCCACAATTTCCTCTTGGATGCTCTAGACCATGATGCATAACCGTCTGGAAGATGCACAGTCTTCAAAGGTAACAAGCGTCGGATCCACGCAGGATCAATTTCTTCAGTGATGCTCAATCACTTTGGGTTTGTAGGTGTTTGGGTTTTCCTCACTTAATGATTTTCACTCAAAATCCTCGGAGGATGGGATGCTCTCAAATGACAAGTGTCAGTTTCTCTCGGAGCAGCCAACCAGCTAGTGGTTGTAGGGGCGGCTATTTATAGCCTAGGGAGCATCGCGACATGACAAGACATAAATGCCCTTCAATGATATGACTGTTAGGTGGGTAGATATTTTGGGACAGCTGGCGCATAGCACAGCAACGGTCGGAATTTTGAGTATCAAATTCCTCAGGGCTATCATGTTCCTCACTATGTAAGCAATCCGCACTGGCGAATTCCTTGTTGGGGAACGTAGTAATTTCAAAATTTTCCTACGCACACGCAAGATCATGGTGATGCATAGCAATGAGGGGAGAGTGTGATCTACGTACCCTTGGTAGATCGACAACGGAAGCGTTTGGTTGATGTAGTCGTACGTCTTCACGGCCCGACCGATCAAGCACCGAAACTACGGCACCTCCGAGTTTTAGCACACGTTTAGCTCGATGACGATCCCCGGACTCCGATCCAGCAAAGTGTTGGGGAAGAGTCCCGTCAACACGATGGCGTGGTGACGATCTTGATGTACTACTGTCGCAGGGCTTCGCCTAAGCACCACTACAATATTATCGAGGACTATGGTGACTGGGGCGCCGCACACGGCTAAGAATAAGATCACGTGGATCAACTTGTGTGTCTCTGGGGTGCCCCTGCCTCCGTATATAAAGGACTAAAGGGGGGGTGCGGCCGGCCTAGGAGAGGCGCGCCAGGAGAGTCCTACTCCCTCTGGGAGTAGGATCCCCCCCCCCAATCCTAGTTGGAATAGGATTCGCGGAGGGGGAAAAGAGAGAGAGGGGCCGGCCCCCTCTCCTTGTCCTATTCGGACCAAGGGAGGGGAGGGGCGCGCGGCCCATGTTGGGCTGCCTCTTCTCTTTTCCACTAAGGTCCACTATGGCCCATATAGCTCCCGGGGGGTTCCGGTAACCTCCCGACACTCCGGTAAAATCCCGATTTCACCCGGAACACTTTCGATATCCAAACATAGGCTTCCAATATATCAATCTTTATGTCTCGATCATTTCGAGACTCCTCGTCATGTCCGTGATCACATCCGGGACTCCGAACAAACTTCAGTACATCAAAATGCATAAACTCATAATATAACTGTCATCGTAACCTTAAGCGTGCGGACCCTACGGGTTCGAGAACAATGTAGACATGACCGAGACATTTAGATCTTGCAATCGAGTCTTTTAGTTTCTTGTTTTATCACTAGTTTAGTTTATAAAAGAAACTACAAAAAATATGGAATTGAGTTTGTCTCATATGCTTCATCTTTTTAATATCTTTCGTGAGAATGATGGAAAGGAAAATTGTGCTCAAGTGCTAGAAGAAGAATGCATTAGAATGTTTGGCACTAAATATTTGAATGATGAGCATGATTGCAATGTTGTTAGTGTGAATTCCTTGAATATCCATGATGCTAATGATATGCAAAGCCACAAGCTTGGGGAAGCTATGTTTGATGAAGATGATA